AACTTTAATTTAAAAATTAAGAAATTTTTAAATACAAAAATTTAGAAACTTGAAGTTCAATTTTTATGGTGCCTTCTGTTGAAATAATATTATATTATAATATTCATTGTATTATGATATATATTCGGTTCCTTATTGCTATCTTTTAAATTTCTTTTTATATATTAAAATATCAGAAACCTTCTTCTATGCTAGCAACATTTGTGCAGTATTTTTCATGTTCGTTTATGTCAAAAGGATTCAGTCGAGCTAAAGCCAGTAAATCATCCCTTATCTGTACAGAAATGACTTCTTAAGTCCAAATAAACGTTTCTGCTAACGTCACTAACATCTTTTCAATGCGAGCTGTAACGCAACTTACTTCTATGTAGCAAATCATTGACATTTGTCGCGTATATTTTGCATTCAATATTGTACATTTTTGTCCTCTTCTAAATGTAAGTGAAAAATAAGAGAAAGATTCCGTCGCTTTATCCCGCTAAGGTATTCTCAGAAAAAGAACATTTTTCAAACAGAAAGGAATTGTGGAAGTTTTATCTGCAATGATTGCATCCTATTATGTCGCATCCCTAAAAACATTTTTAAATTAAACACACAGTTTTTATTAAAAATCGGCAAAAATTTACCTGCACGAATCGTTATTAATTTTATTTATACATTGTTGTTGTTTAATTTAAACATCTTATATCCGGTTGTATTAATTTAGAAGAATTTAGTAGAAAATGAAATTGAACAATTTAGATTGATTTAGATTTAGTTTTTATAAATGATAAATTTTATAAATAATAATTAAAAAATCTAAATTATTATACAAAACGGAAGAGAAATATAATTCTCTTGTAGAGAAAATAAGACAGGAATTAGAATTGATTTAAAACGATTCTTAATTTCGAAATTTATTTTTACAAAATCAAATCAGTCTCCATTAGAATATTCTTTTTATTCGTTTATTCTTGAAAGATATTTATTATTGAAAGATCTGTATAAATCTTCTCGCGCGAAGAAAAATTGGAGGCGATTTTTCATTATTAAGGAAACTTAAGATATTCTTCCCGCATAAATACGGAACTGACATGACAGTTTCGCAAGTTTGTTGCAGTTGAAGTGGATGAGTACGTTATTCTATCAAAACTTTTGAAAAAGAGTGACATAACTTTTCTGAAATCGTGGAAATAGAATTTAGCAAGTGAGTATACTGCGAAGTTGCGAGCTACGCCAAGACAATATCAATTATGTGCATCAAATATAGGAAACTTGATAAAAAACTGGGTCAAGCATACAAGTGCACGCTTCAGATTTCCTTTTTCTGCGACTAGTAACTGACCTTCTTGACTTCAATTTCCTCTTCGTAAATTCTCCAAAATAGCAATCAAATAATCTTCTTAGCGAGGAAATAAGCAGCTTTAAAGTTGCTCAAGAAGCACCAAACCATTGGATTGAAAATAATAAATGAAATTTATTAACTGTAGGAAATAAATGGAGGAGTGAAATAAATTCCACTTATGTTATTACAAAAAATTTAAGTAGAGAATTTGGAGAAAATAACTGGAAAAAATTTTCAAGTTCTTTGCAAGAAGTTTAAATTAAATCTTACAATAAGATAGAAGACGAAATTCGATATTACGAGGAATATGCAAACTCGTATATGCAAACATACTTTTATTATTTAAATATATACAAAAAACAATTTGCTTTTAAAATTATATATGAAAGATATAAAATTATGTATGTACATTTTTGCATCATATGCAAAAAGGCAAGTTCTAAGCTAACGAGAATCAGATTCGCTGGAATCTGTATCACTTTCACTGTTGTCTATTGTCTGATTAGGAGCGCACCTATTCGTATTTACGAAAAGCTCTTCGTCATCGCACGTAGTATAATTCGTTGCTATCACACATCCGTTCCTTTTTGGATCCTCATCGAATTCTGGCGGCCAACAATTTTGTTCACGATAC